CGACGCATGCCGCAGTGGCTTGTCTTTCTTTAGGATTCCGACCCCCCAAATTGGTGGTTTTCCTTTTGGCTTTCCATTTAAACCACCACATAAGGGGTACCAACTCCGCCACCCGCTTTCATGTTGTTTGTGCAAGAAGCCTGAGTCCGGACTCAAGCCCACACCGGGCAATGAATGCTCCTGACGGGCCTAAGGGACAAAAAAGCAGCTGCAAGCCCTACGCAGTTTGGCTTCCATGACATGAAGCAATCGTCCAGTCAGCACGACCACCGGTGCCAACGCAAAGCATCGCAAAGCTGCACCCCAAGTGAAATTGAGTCCACCCAAGCGCAGGCTTGCATGCCTACCTGACTATGTGCCTTCCAGCCAAACCTCTACTGGTACGCAGCAAATAAAGCGATCAAGCAATGACCATCAAATTGCGGCCATTCCGGAAAACACAATAGCAAACACATATCGTCGGCTGTGTTGATGTTCAACAAGCTGATGGGGGGGGCGCATATGCAAACACTCAGCATGGCGTCAGGATGCAAGAATGGAGCTACAAGAATGGAGCTACGAGTTGCATTTTGACGTCAAACAATGAGACCAGTCGCACAAACAACAGGACCCACCGCGTGTGCCTTCTGGAGCCGCGCCCTCCCTGTCGCCGGGTAAAACTTCCGGAGCTTCTGGAGTCTCATCAACGATCTCCTCTGAAGCTGCAGCATCGGGAACCTGTGCTGAGTCTGAACGAATTGCACTCAGTGAGGGTGTTCTAACCATTAGAAATCATTAGAACAGCCAAATCAGCTGTGAGTTTTCTCGCCAAGTCGAAGTGCTGAAGCACGATTCTCAGGGTTGGCTCATTGCTCTGTGGCAGTGCGTCGAAATGAGGAAGTCGACTCAAACTTCTCATTTGGACACTCTGCATGATGCAGCCAATGAGTAGACGCCAAGCCCGTTTGAGCACCACCTTGACACCCCGGCATACACAAACACACGACACACACACACAAACAAAAGCCACTCCTCACCCAGCTGAGACGAGACGCTGTGGTCTCCACAGTCTCATCCGCATTCGTGCAGCAGGCTGCAAATCGGTCTTGGGCCTTGCGCCACGTCCGAATTGCTGTATGGCTTCGTTTTTCCACCACCCAAGGTTCAAGGTTCAGGACGCCCTTAAGTGGTGGTTGGATTGATGGTTTGGATTTGGATTTTGAACCCCTTGTCCTTGTAACTGGTAACTGGAAACCCACCCCGGAACACCTCCTAACCACCAATCCAAACCACCAATCCAAACCACCAATCCAAACCGCCAATCCAAAAAAACCAATCCAAACTGCCAATCCAAACCACCAATCCACACCACCAATTAAAGAACAGCTGAAAGGTAGACTTAAACCCGTTGGCTTATTTGGCCCCAAACAACCCTTCCGGTTTAGCTCTGCCTTAGTTTGCGCAAAACCTGGAAGCCTGGCAAAGATTAGCCGAAGCGGGCCTTCTGAAATTAAGCTGAAACGAACCTCCCAACCAAAGCAACAAATCAGGTTCGATTCAAGGCTCCCTGGCTCCATTCACCAGCCGCGGTTCTCAATTTGGCTGGCTTGTTTGACAGGACAAAAATGCCTGGACAAGTTTCGGCAAATTGACGCGGATTCTCTTGAGGAATGATTTGCCCGAGTCTTACCCGCATCTTCAATGTTTATACTGTTTAGCAACCTGATACACATTTGTGCCAAGCTGGGTACGATTGAATCCTTGACATCATGACATCGCTTATACAATCAAACTGCCCCGAGAAGGCACGATAAGCTGGTCCCTTCGGAATACACACAATGAATGAACATCGTCCACAACACAGGCGCACACACAAAAACACACACACACACAAAAACACACACACAAACACAAACACAAACACAAACACGAACACGAACACGAACACGAACACGAACACAAACACAAACACAAACACAACCACAACCACAACCACAAACACAAACACAAACACCAACACCAACACAAACACAACCACAACCACAAACACACACACACACACATAAACACAAACACAAACACAAACGCAAACACAAACACATACACACACCCACACCCACACCCACACCCACAACCCACAACCACAACGCACACCCACCCACACACCCACAACACAACACAACACAACACAACGCAACGCAACGCAACACAAGACAACACACAGTCTCACACCACACAAACCACACAAACCACACACACACACACACGCACCAACATTGAAGCGTCAATCTGGCTGGGTGGCTTGTGTGGCCGCGGCAACCAGATCATTTAATGAGGATGGCCTTTTGCCATCATGGCGTTAGCTTCAACTTGGCAAAAATTTGGCGGGGGTGTCTTCTTTGGAGGGTACCCCTTCTTTGTATTTCATTAAGGCACCAAAAGGAACATTCGCGGGGATTCCCTACTGAACGACCTTTAGCTGGCTGGAACCCCGCCTCCTGACAGGACACGGAGCCATTGCCTAGCGCCAGGCAACCCCACAACCGACTGGTGGCTCCAGGTGTCCCATCCGCAATCTTGGCAGCGAACTCGATGCTCTAGTTTGTGCACATGTGTGTTTTGCAGTACAGTAGATACATTGTACATGCACCAATGGGTAGATAAATAAATATATATATATATATATGTAATATGCTACCCCCCTTGAAATACTCAGGTTTTTGGGCAGAACTGAGGTTTTTGGCCAGACTGGGGGTGACAAATGCCTTCAGACTCTGATTTGAACTGGACACTCAACTCCATGCAAATTCTAATCAAGCAGAAGTTCAGCTCAACGTTGATTAGGAGTTGCGAATTGTGTGACCGTCACATTGGCGTGCGCGAAGTGCACTTAAAGTCACATTGGAGTAGGCAAAGTGCAATTTGGCAGCTCCAGCTCAAAAAGCACAACTGTTCAGTACAGGAGTAGTGCGCGAAGCATGTTTTGGCAGCTTCAACGCACCTGTAGCAGCCCTATTATTTGGTGTTTATTATTTGCGTTTGGCAGCGAAATTCAGCAAAACATCAACTCGAGGAAAAGGAACTCATTCCTAATGCATGTCCTTGCGCAGTTTCATTTACATGTTAACTCGAGTGTTGTGAATAATTCCTGACATGCTAGTTCAGTCTATTTGAAACATATGTTGCAAAGCAACTATCCCACGTTTGTGTGTGTGTGTGCTGCTTGTCTAAGCTGGTTCCAAGAATATCCAGTTAAAAGCTTTCGAGTTCAAACCAAATTCAAGTTTACTCGTTTGCAGTTTCTTGTGCATTTCAACAAGCAACTGGAGAAGATAGCTATTGTCATGGCCAAATGAATTTGGAATCAAACTCAATTTTGAAAGGGCTATTGTCCTTATCGAACTCCATGTGGTTTGAACCAAGCAAGAACTGAGCCAAGCCAATGACAGGAACGTGTTTTCGATCATAGATCCTATTCTTTGCATAAATGCTGTAAAACACAGTGTTTTAAAATTGGAGGGCACCCATGGCCTGCTTTCTCAAAAGCCAATGGCAGCCAAAAGGCTCCTCATTCTGAGACATGGCTGTGGTTCAAACAAATGTATGTTCTAAATGGCACCTTGGTGGGCTATAGCCTGCGTAACTCTAGGTTTCTAAGTTTGAGCCACACCCACATGGCCCCATTATTCTACCAGTAACCAGTCACCCCCCAAAGTTTTCAGCATTTGCTGAGATCGTGTTGCCCTGGATCGAACATCGAATATACAAGATTCCACAAACATATGTTTAGAATATACTCAATCCTGGTCCCCCAAAAACTTGACAGTTTGTTCTAGACTCATTAAGGTTTCGCCCCCTGCATTGAAGATTGAAGACCTACCAAATTTTCTATTTGAGAATCTTCCCTCCTGGCCAGCCCTCAAGTCCACAAAAAACTGTAAAGGTGTCAGCAATATTTTTCCCCTGGCCAATTGCAGGCAGTGCAAGTGCACGTCCACATTTTGATTCTGACAACGTGCACTCCCGGTCTGCCTTTTGGATTCTTCAAATCCGCACTTCAGTTCTGCCCAAAAAACCTGAGTATTCCAGAAGGGGTACCATACATACACATATATATATATATGGTACCATATATACACATATATACATATATGTATACCTACTATGACCTACCCCTTTTTTCCATGGTTTGCCCACACGAACCGGGGATCTCTCAACTGGGCCTAGGACCAAACGAGGCACACATAGAAGGCGTATTTCGGCCACATTGCACTCCCGAAACTTAGGTTTCAACTTTAAGTTCCACGGAGCCTGCGAGAAATACAATATTTCACCCAACCTTGCCCACCTGAACTCAAATTTCTGGGGTAAAGAGAAAATCAGCCTTCGCCTATTTACAACACAAGTTTAAAAGCCCCCAACTTTTTGCTCGCTCACTTCGTGTGCAAACGCAAGTCAGCGCCACTGCCAAGAGCACGGCTTCAAGATGTGTTTTGGTTGGTTTCAAGTGAGCCAAATTTTACTGTTTCGAGTTTTTGACGAACATTCCACAGCGCACCCAAGCTCTCAACCTGGTAGGTAGTGACCATCAATCAGTCAGTCCCAAAATCTGGTGGTTGAGTATCCGCCCAATCCAAAAGATTCACAAGTTCACCAGAGGCGGAGATCAACACTCCCCACTGCCGCTTTCCACGGCACTGTCAGCTTCAGGCAGCGCAACTCTGCGGCGCAATCTAAGTAAGCGAGAAGACAAAAGAAATCCAGCGGAAGCCAAATCGGGAAGCTTTGGCGAGTGTGCTGCCAACAGGCGGCACTGGCTGGATGCTGTGCCACACCCTCCACAACCAAATCCAAAAGCGGCTCGGCTGGCAATGTGCCCAAGTCAATCATACTATCTAGATACCACGGGCACGGGGTGCTGTGAGAAAACCGGACCCGAATTGGACAAACAAATGAGTATAACCATCCTGAACCGAACGGCCTCATGAGCGTGGCCGTCACGACGGAAGCATCCCCCCCACCCCCACCCCGCAACCCAGCACGTCCATCCGGCAGTAACGGGAAACAAAAAACACAAAAAACGTGGAGGCGTGGCCGCGGCCGTCTACCTCCGCGTGTTCCAACTACCGTAGATCCTACTATAAAACCAGAAGACTGAACTCTAACTTTCATAGTAATTAAATTTCAGCTACACTATTCCTCTAAAATGCCATTTATGTTTTCTAAATATTTCAGTAGACTAAGGGAAAACTAAAACTAGAATCAAAGGTCTCTCAACTAGAACTAGAACCAAGCCAGGACTAGACTATTTGAACCCGAATTACTGTAGGAATTAGATTTTGCATTTCAACTAAAATGTTCTCTATACTGTCCTGAAGAATTTCATTTTGGTCAGTAGAGAACCAATCTAGGACTATAACCAAGAGTTCTCAACTAGGGCTAGGACCAAGCTAGGACTAGAACCCAGGATGTCAGAACTAGGACTAGGACCAAACTAGCACTTGAACCGAACCCTCAGCTAGGACTAGGACCAGATCCTGAATGAAACCGAATGAAACGCAATGACATGTCATTTGCAAAATGGGACCGGCCCCCCCCGAATGAAACCAAATGAAAACAAATGCAGTTTCATTCAGGGCCAGGATTCAAGAATCAAGATTCCAGGGAAAACATCTCCGGGAGTCCTGAATCTTGAATCCGGGCGAAGGAAATTCAGTCGTTTTCATTTGGGGGGGGGCGCAGATTCAATAAGACAAGCTAATTTTTTTCCAGCAAATCTTGAATCTTGAATCCGGCCCCCGCATGAAATCTCGTTGGCTTTCATTCGGGGGTTGGTTCCAATCAGCGAATGAAATGTCATTCCTTTTCATTCGGTTCATTTGGGGTGATGTTCAGATTGTCTTTGGACTTTTTGCGGTGCCATACATACATTACATACATACATACATACATACATACATACATACATACATACATACATACATACATACATACATACATACATACATACATACATACATACATACATTACATACATACATACATACATACATACATACATACATACATACATACATACATACATACATACATTACATCATACATACATACATACATACATACATACATACATACATACATACATACATTACATACATACATACATACATACATACATACATACATACATACATACATACATACATACATACACAACATTACATACAACATTACATACATACATACATACATACATACATACATACATACATACATACATACATACATACATACAATACAATACATTACATTACATTACATTACATTACATACATTACATACATTACATTACATTACATTACATACATACATACATACATACATACATACATACATTACATACATACATACATACATACATACATACATCATACATACATACATACATACTACATACATAATACATTACATACATACATACATACATACATACATACATACATACATACATACATACATTACATTACATACATACATACATACATACATACATACATACATACATACATTACATACATACATACATACATACATACATACATACGCATACATACATTACATACATACATACATACATACATACATACATACATACATACATACATACATACATACATACATACATACATACATACATACATACATACATACATACATACATACATACATTACATTACATACATACATACATACATACATACAATTACATACATACATACATACATACATACATACATACATACATACATACATACATACATACATACATACATACATACATAAATAAATAACATACATACATACATACATACATACATACATACATACATACATACATACATACATACATACATACATACATACATTGCATTGCATTGCATTGCATTGCATTGCATTGCATTGCATTGCATTGCATTACATACATACATACATACATACATACATACATACATTACATTACATACATACATACATACATACATACATACATACATACATACATACATACATTACATACATACATACATACATACATACATACATACATTACATAATACATGCATACATACATATATACATACATACATACATGCATACATATATACATGCACATACATACATACATACATACATACATACATACATACATACATACATACATACATACATACATACATACATACATACATACATACATACATACATACATACATACATACATACATACATACATACATACATACATACATACATACCATACATACATACATACATACATACATACATACATACATACATACATACATACATACATACATACATACATACATACATACATACATACATACATACATACATTACATACATACATACATACATACATACATACATACATACATACATTACATACATACATACATACATACATACATACATACATACATACATACATACATACAT